GGGGGGGGCGCCTCTCCCCCACAGACCGACGAGGTGCCGCGGCGCAACTGCACCGGGGCGACGAGCGGCGCCCCGCACCTACGGCACTCCGGGCCGGCCTTCACGCCTTGGAACTTCGCTTAAGCGAGCCACGGTGCCGAGGGCCTCGGTAAAAGAACGCAGCACGCTTAAGCAAGGAATCGCACGAGATGTATCGATAACACGGCTTCCTGGAGCGTAAGACCTCCAAAAACTCATCTGATGGCACAGCCCTCGACTCAAAGGGCACAAAGCGTTCTCCATCTCCCGGCAGAAAGCGGAGCTCCGAGCCCCTTTGCCCCGCTGCACAGCCCCAGCTCCGTGCTCGGCGCAAATCACAGCGCGAGGTGGGGGCTGGCAGAGCCCCACGGAGCTGCGGCACCACAGCCGGCATAAAGGTGGCCACTGAGCCGGGGACGAAACCTGAGCGCAGGGCTCAGACTGCATCTTTCAGAAGTAAACACTAAGAGGTCTTAACAGGGAGAATTAAGTATTTATCGGCACAGTTACTTCAAATCTCCGTAACGTTTGCAGCATAGTTCATGCCATAAAGCATATTATAAAGTGATTTGCATCCTGTTGGATTCCAGTATTCTCTTCTGCTACAGTAAATCATTCCATTAGCCATAAAAAAAAAAAACCAGCAGAAAAATAACAACGCATCACTCATCACTTACTCTCCTTCACACTGCACAGCTAAATACTCCTTGTTCAGAACAAAAATAAGTCATCCCCATTCCTCTTCTTTCCTCTAAATGTCACAAGCAGGAGACTGAACGTCAGTCAGTTATCCCATTCTAACAACTGCTTTGCCAAGTTATTTTTCCCAGTTTTTCAAATAGGCTTTTTCTGCACTCCTAAAGAATGTCCGCAGCTGGTGCCCACAGCCTTCTTTCTGGATGGAGCACCACACTGAACCGTGATGTGGACAGAGCACCATACCGCGCTGATGAGCGTTCGGATTTACTGGGCTCGGAGTCTGGGGGGAGGTGGTTCAGATAAAACATCAGGAGTGATCATATTGTACAGTGTACAAAGAAACATCAATTTAAACATGTTAATCTTTACAAAACATCACATAAAAGCTAAAACTGGATTTCAGAGGAACTAACATCCCCCAACCACCATAACTTTTTAAAATAGCAATCCTTATGTGCTCCAGCTCACTGAGGTCACCACTACTCAGCAGCCTCATACATCCCAGCCTGATCTGGATGGAGCAGCGGTCCTCACAGCCACCACAAACTCTTCCTGAAAGGCAAAAGGGTAAATATTTTGGCACATGGAAATATAAAGTCATTAGCTAGATACTGACCCTTCCCAGACCTACATCATCTCTTACACACAACGGGCTGGTGTGCAGTGCAGGCCAGCAGCCCCTGGGGAGGGCAGCCACAGGCACCCTGAAGCTGGGGGGGCAGTGGGGCAGCACGGGGCCCAGAGAGCCCAGGGCACGCAGCCCCTGGCACTGAGCAGCAGCATGGCTGTAGCCAGTACAGGCTGGGCTGGGGAAAGTGCTTCCCTGGCAGCCCCATCTGAGTGAAATGGGGCTCCTGGGCCATGGGCGTAAAGGCCAATGGAGGCTGGTGGGGGCAATTACTGCCCATTAGTGTGCTCAGGGCTCTGACAAGTAGAAACAAAGATCTTTATTTTTAAATAATTGAATCTTTAGCTGATAAAACTAATTGCACTTCCATTTTAAACTTGGACTTCTGCAAGCCATTGGTTTAGTGCCATAAGACATTTTGATTCCAAACCCTTGATTTATATAGGAATAACCACCCTAAAAACTAGCTCGCTGACATTTCAAAATGCTGTTGTCACTGGCAAGATATCACTGAACTGATGCATTTCTGGTGGCATCCTTTAGGATGCTGATTCCAAAACTGTAACAGCCCAGGTGGTTATATAAAGGCTTACAGAGGTAATGTTTAGTAAGGACAAAAAGATCAGTGCAGTAATAAATGAGAAGGAAAGACTATTTTTACAGACTTATCTGAGTCATATGGTTAAATCCAATACATCTACACAGATGCAAGCAGACATGTAAGGAACACGTGGGGTATGGTTGCATGAAGAGCGGCCCAGATAAAGACTTGGGGAATCATTGGTTCAGCCAAGCACAAATAATGCTGATGCAAAAAGAACCAATGCAATCCGGTGTGTATGACAAATGCCTTCTCTATTAGATCTCTATGCACACACTGGTGAAGAAACACAACAAAAAAACTGCACACACCTCTGATGTTTATACTTGGAGGAAAACTGAAATATTAGTGATGAGGAAGAGTGCTGAAAAATGATCCAGGGAGCAGAAAACAAGCCTTCACAATACAGAGTTTACATATTTCTGCTTATTTGGCGTCTGAAATAAATAAAACTGACAGGGGGCTTGATTACTTTGAACAGATGTTTATACATGGAAAAGAGACCTCAACAGTATGACCTTTTCAACCTTGCTGACAAAGGCAGAATGGTATCCATTTGTTGGAAACTGTAGCTAGACAAACCCAATGTTGACATTTCCTGACTGTGAGGGCAATTAAATATTTACATAGCTTATATCAGGAGAGATACTGGGTATACCTTTGCTTGGCTTTGAACATGAGATTAAATAGCTTTTTCCAGGACAGGTTTTGATTCAGCTTTTGAAGAAATCCAGTTGTGTACAAGCATACAGCAAGACTTTGCATAACATCAAACCTCACCACAGCCCACCATTCCAGGTCAAAAGCAGTATCACCTACTTGCAGACACAGTTCAGAATACAACACTGATGGCCTCTTCTGTCCACAGTTTGCCCATGTTCAGTCAGATGGGTGCTGAAATACTTGGTTGCATTACACAGAGAGAAATGAACAATTAACACTGGTTGTTCTGAATATGGATATTCTGTGACTGTCGGGTTTGGGGTCTCTTACTGCTTACACTCACTGCCTCACAGAGCAGTCAGCTCTAGGAATGGTCCTCAGTTCACTATTTCTCTGGAAGGGCAGTTTTATCTAGACATCTGATCTTTTAACAGTATAATTAGTAATACATGTTCTCACAAGTACAATGGGAAGAAAACCACTTTGACCTACTAAGAGAATAATGTATGATTACATTAAAAATGGAAAATAACACCAAGAATTCCAACATTTGAAGATATCTGCTGAGTTATTTTTCTAATTGTCAGGCACAAGTCTAGGGAGAAAATAAAATACAAAAGGAATCACATTTGCTATAGTAGAGAAGACACTACAGAGGGCACGCAATAAATGTATTTTGTGTTATTAAAGGTCCATCAGACAGTTCCTGATAACTTCAAAGCCATCCACTTCTCCAGTTGTGTGCCTAGGGTGTATGACCCCCAGACACAACATTGGCAAGTGATGGCTACTATAACTTGCACAGGAGTCCGTCCAGTTCAGTTCCAGTGTTTGAACTGCAAGAGATGCATCCTTAAGTCAGACCCAAACCTGCTTCTTTGCCCTTAGGTAGAATAAAACAAGAACTAGTATTTGACAAAGTCAGAGAGGGAACCGATTTCAAAAATACTATGACTGAGAAATACTCTACTCCATTGTACAAAATAGCAAGAAACATAAGACAAACTTTCACGAGGAAAAAAAAAACCAACACAAAAGACTTCCCACTAAAAATGAAAAAGAAAATGTCGGTCATTGTGAGAGCAAAAAGACTACAGAAACAGTTCTTGTGTTTGGTACTTTGCCAGTGAATCAGAAAGGGCTGGTAAAAATGCATTCATTGTGCAGAGCCCCCTCACTGTTGAAAAAACTCCTTTATTCACAGAGACAAGATTCTGCTCTCATATATAACTCCTGTGAAGTCAATGGGAGCTGACTTGCATTACGCAAAGGAGACTGTTGCCCAGATATTCAGCATTTGTTTACAGTTGGGGAAAAAAAACCTCTCAAACTATTGTTGAAAACTATTTCACAGCTTATTTTTAACACAAACAGCTTGAAATGAGGAAAGCTCAGTTGGTAGGAATTTCATATCTACTAGGACATGAATTTTGACCATTTTATAGCACAAGCAGTCAAATTTCAGATGCTTTTTCATAGCTAAGTAGAAGAGCCTCTTAAAAATGGCTTGAGAAAAGTTTATAAAAATAAGGTCTTAACTGCCAAATTTTCTCCCACTTTCAGCAAATACTTTCCCAACAGTAATCGAGTGATGGACCATGGGCCATGCTGGTGAGAAGACACAGTGTCTGCTGCAGGAGACCAGTGAAGGACTGAGGCAGAAAAAGATGTAGGGTGAGATGGCTGGCATCAGCTGGTCCACAAATGAGACAGAAGCAAAAAGGACAAGGACAAATCAAGAGTCTGAAGAGGAGGGGATACAGAGCGGAGATGAAACACACAATGAAAGACACACTAAGGAGTTTGGAGCTGAAAATAAAGTTTTATGATGAAACTCACTTTAGTTGTGAAGTGCTGCTGAAAGAGATGGTCCATTCTCACCTTATTGCACTCTCCCCTCCAACCCTGGCTGTAATTTTTAGCATTATTCATTTTACACCATGAAGTGACTAAGAAAGCTGATCTGAAAGACAATCAGTCATATAATCATACAAGTTTACTTCCCTGACTCAGCTCACAAGGGAGACCAGGGGAGACAGTCAGAGGAATGAGAGTACTTCTTTCAGTAGCAGCCCACAATTAGATTGGCAGAACCACATCCTGAGTTCAGCAGGGGACTCAGGCAGCAAGCCAAGGAGAAAGCCAGCACTGGCCTAGCCAGGAGACTGAGCCTGAAGAAATGGGGAGGCCAGGAAGATGAAAAACTGGTGGAAAAATAATGCTGGAGGGAGTGAGAGGCCTGAAGAAGAGAGCTGTGATCTGGAAGAAAGGAGAGGTTTGAAACCTGTTGCAGGAGCCTTTATCCTCACTGGAGTGCATTCACATCCTGCCCCTGAAATCAAATCAGAATATGCTAATTTTCACTATTCATTTACTACCACTAAACACTACCAGCAAAATCTGTGATGTTAATTATGAGCCCATGTGCATGCCTGATTGCCTTCTGTCATCACTGAAGATGACATCTTATTATTGCAACCAGCAATCTATGCATGCAACAGGCAAAAGCCATTTGCATTAATTAAACCTATTGGAAAAAAAAAAATCAGTGTCATCATACCAGCATGATAGTATTGACAAAACTTCACGCTGCCAAAAATAGGAAAAACTAATTAAGCAAAAAGCCAACCCAAAATCAAAACCCACACCAAGTTGAATCATTATAAATGAGAAAAGTCCTAGAATTGCAATTCACAATTTACTTTTTACTTTTTACACAATTTTACTAGGCTAGTAAAATAAAGCTAAACATGAAAGATTCATTATTCAGTTGAACTTTCCCCTAGCAGTGATATCTACAAAAACAAATAGCTTTAAAAAATAAATTTTGATTTATCATCTGTTCTTGGTCTGATAAATCTGTTCAGACATCTGTCACATGAAGAGTTAACTTCATTCAGTTCTCCTTCTGCATCCACATTTCTCTACCAATGGGAACTTAGTCTACACATTGCTGGTGGTTTGTGTGGATGACTGTGAAATACAATAAGTTATCCCTCTAATTTACTTAAGTGCTACTGAGAAACTGTTCTGCAATGGGAACTGGTATTTTCAGTTTTCCCAGTCCAATTTTTTTCTCCCAGTCAAGTCACTGATTCACTTAGTGATCCAGAGCAAATCATTTATTTAATTGTACCCTTAACAAGCCAGCTGGATAACTAAGTGCAAAACAGCTCTACATTGAAAACCAAATGCTATGTCTAAACTGTGCCTTCCTGAGAAAACAAACAAACAAACTGTCCTATTTTCCCTTGGGGCAATCATGAGAAAGTCAAGCATTCCAAATTCATTTCAAAACCAAGAAGACAGGTTTAAGTTTGGTCTCAAAAGATGTTTTCACTAATCCACTGATTAACATACTGGTTTTGCATCTTCAATGTTAAGCAACACGTTACTGTAACATTTTGTAAAGATTCACTATTTTTAACAACATCTACTTGTTCACTTCAAACAGTCTAGATCTCAACTATTGTCTCTTTAAAACATCTGTTGGCTCACTTAATGAATGCTTGTGATTCGTAAGGCCTATTATTAGTGCTGAGCATACATCAGCTAGAAAAATAGAGCAAGCTAGCTTTTATGTATTGCTGAGCAGAAAGTTCACCGTGTTATATAAACCACTGCCTTTAACTGTTAAGACATATTATAAGCTACTTATTTAGGATTATGTTTCATTTTACTTCCTAATCAAAATAGCATATATTACATGTGATGGCTGCATCAAACTGAACCAAAAAAAAAAAATACTTGACAAGTTGGTATATAGGAACAGCTCTTGACTAATGTATTCATCTGGGGTTATTTACTAACTCTTCATACATTTTTCTGCCACTCCACAAGAGCTACATTTGCTAAGAGGCAAACCACCTTCATCTCTCTTTAACCATAAACGACAGTGAAGATGTTCAGCGTTCTTTCAGTGGTGTCCTGCACCCACCTGTTTCTCTATGGATTTGATCACTGGGAGTAGGCCTATAGTAAGAGCAGTCATCGAATGCCCACACAAAGTCACAAGATTTACAAACCGAGACAATGTCAACTTTTATGCCAGAGTCAATCTGTGTATCTTTATGATTACATAAGAGGAAGCTGGAAAAAAGAGAACTTTTGAGAATGAAAAATGACAGTTATAATTGTTATTAATTTTACTTTTTACCAGTCCAAATGTGTGGGAATTCCATCATTGCTCACTCCATTTGCAGTCTGGCTTTTCACAGCATTTTTCTAAGATTCTACTAGTCCTACAGCAAAGTATTAAATAATTTTAAACAAAATTATAAAAACCAAAATACTCAATTGCAAATATGTTAGCTACCTGTAGTTCTGAAAGAGCAGAAGATACACTTTGTCATCTGTAATACAGTTTTATAAACAAATACTAAAGGACTAAAAGAGGATCAAGGCTACATGAGCTCTATATACCCATTTTTTCTTAATTCTGCAGGCTCCTGTAAATCTAATTCCCAGTAAAAGCTACTGGATTTTCCCAAAAGTACCACCAACAATAAAGTTTCAAAATTATTTTTAAATTGTATTTTCCAATTTCTCTCACATTAGAACAAGCACATACAGCAGGCCTCCATAACACAATCTACAAATGTTCATTTTGCCTCCAACTCCTTTGAAAGAAAAATGAACCTAAACCATGAATTTTTGCTGATCTCCACTCTGGGGACAACAGTATTATTTACCAGATGACAGTAAAATGTAGATTTTTGAATACATACTGGCTCAGATAGTTTTTTGTTTGTTTGTTTTCCAGATTCCTATTAAAGATTAAAACAAAAATCCACACTGAAGTGCTCATATAATTGTGCATGCTCCTCATTCTGTTCTCCTGTGCCTCCTCCTGGGATACCACCCATACAGGAATAGTTTTTGAGTAGGAGGAGCAGGGTTTAGTCCACTGAAAAAGTGAAAGAAAAGCCTGTCAAAATGCAGTCTGTTATAGCCACAGAGCCTATGAGAAAATAAAACCTTTAAAAAACTGTGTATTAAAATAGAAAAGAAATATTCTACATCCATTTTTCTTGCCATTTTCTCCAGCTGTAATTGTAATGAGTACTTGGTTCTTGTAACACCATCAGTCTTCATTTTTTATTTATATGATAAACAGAACTTAAAATAAAAACTCATCTGCAGACCTGTGCAAACATAATTGCATATTATAACACTGAGTTCAAGACATATTGATTATATATATAAGAGCTACTTTTTAACAAATTTGAGAACACAGAAATTGATTTTTTTTAATAATGCCTAAGTACAAATAAAGTAAAGTACTTACAGTCATCTTGGTTCTGACTTCTGGCAGAAATCTCAAGGCAGTTTTACTCTGTGTGGAGGAGAATTTATGGATCTGATGAAGGAACCGCATGTTGTATGTGCTATAAAGACTGCTGCTGTTTTCTCAGTATTTAATATACTGAGCATAGCTGACTACTGCACTGAACACAGCTATAGTTTTAAGGCTGCTGTAAAGCTATTACCCTTGCTCCTCAGGCCAAACTGGACTATTGAAATTCGGCACATACAAAGAGGTTACTAAGACCATTAGTAGAGAGGAATCACTGCTGCTGCCCTGTTGTGGCAGCTGAAAAAAAAAACCAACAGTGTTAACCCTATTTAAAACACTGCTGTCACTGAAGAGGAAATGGTATTTGCATAGTTTGTTTTGGAGGACAACAGGCAAGAATTCATTTTCTTAACACCATGTATGCTGTACAGCAGATTTCTTAAATTCAAATATTTAAAATACTAAATATCTACCCTATAAAATACAAGTATACCTGTGCAGTCTCCTTTCCTTTGTTAATTTTAAACTACTAAATCTGATCTCAATCAGATTTTGAGATCTGATTTTTGTTAGCAGAGATCAGATCAGATTTTTGTTAGCATCCTAAGTCATTACATCAATACCCACAGTGCAGACCAGCTATATACAAGCTTTATCTCATTCACAGATATTCTGATATTTTAAATCATTCTTAGAAGAAGACTTAGCTTCAAATTTTTCCATTAAACTAAACTTCCTCATTTAATCCTTGAGAATTAAAATGATTGAGAGGTTCACCTTATCTAAATATGCTTATCTACAGGTAACATACCCTTAAAGTAAACTAGAAGACAAATAAGCCAAACTGGAAACTGAGAGGATGAACTGTCATTACGCTGCAAAGGGAACAGTCAGTATTTGTTCCTAAGTTGTGTTCTTTAACACAGACTTGAGAAATTCTAGATTTAGGGGAAGCCAGTCATGATTCAGGTTTTGCCATTAGTGCCATTTTTGTACAATTAAGACACAGCACCTATTCTCACAGCAATTCTAGCCATGAACTTTGCAGATGTTTTTATCTTGCTGCAAAAACAGTGATGTAATTTTAATCTCCTGCCGGGTATTTCTTTACAAAATTGTATATATATATATTTATCATCTTTACATTTTAATTACATTGTGAACAGATTTCTTATCCTGTGATTAAAATACTGGTGCAAAAATAACATTGGAGCTAACGATAACTACAATGGGACAAAGACTGCACTGATTTGTTTCAGCCTTACTCTACATATGCATTCCACCCAACTGGAGTGGGAAGCAGGGTGGCAGACTACCTTTTCCCCCATTCTGGCTTTGGCCTTCTGAGCACAGGGAAGCTGCAGAGAGAAGCAGTGACCTTTCTGGAGAAGCAGCTCTGGTGCAGTGGGTGGGAGAGCATTCAGAGAGGCACAGCAAGCAGGGAGCAGCAGGCAGGAAAGCTGAAACAAACAAAAGGGGTTGCTTAGTGCAGAGAAAAGGCTCAGATCCAGAGCTAGATATACAGGTGTTTCTATAGGAGCTTGAAAGGAAGCCCTAAATTACATAATGAAACTGCTGACACTTGCTTCAGAGGAAGTCAAAATTGAGTAGATGGATTCCCCCAGTAGGATACACTGGGCAGGAGGGTTCTTTTGCAAACCTATCAATCAGACTACACTGATGAGCCTCAGCTTTCTGCCCTGCAGAGACCTCTCACGTTCTTGTTTGAAATTTTGCATCAAATACAAATTAAAGATGGGAAGCTTTAGGTTTCTTCCAGCACACTCACTGTAAAATAAAGACAGTGGAAATTCTGATGACTCAGGGGTCTGTCAGCTGAAAGTGTTATATGATAGATCATGTATATATTTATCAACTATATATATATTCATAGGTATATAGAACAATCAGCTAAGAATGATACATGAGATGTATGATTATAAATCTTCTCTTGCCAGCAATATATAACTCCTAATTAATTTAACCATAATTCTTCAGCTACATTTTTTTTTTTTCTATTTTAGCACATCCTTTATTATTTGAGTTCTTCTTCAACAGCACAGTTTCATAGCAGGAAAAGATCAGTAAGAGACACTTAAAATCTAAACCCAGGAGATACATTCCTGACCACCGCTTATCTTCTGAATCATCAAATATGATCTCCATTGTCCTTTAATTGTACAGAACCTTTCCCTGTTTTTAAGGCTAGGATTGTAAACTCCAGGAAAAAGAAAAAAAAAGACAGAATATCTTGTATTCTAACTTTGTAATGACAATAAAGATAAAATTTTGTCCTGACACACATACTCTGCTATTTCCTAGAGGGATGATTTCCACTTATTGTGGGACATACATTGTAATAATAAATTCTATACCAATCATACATGATGAATCAGTTTCTAGAGACAATAAGCTAATTAAGATTCATATTAATTTTAAAATCCTTCTTTCACAAAGCTCATTTTTCTAAGGAAATGTGAAGATTAATTCAGCTCATGGCTGTTGCTCATACAAGAGGAACTTCTATCCTTAAAGGTATGTGCAGTCCTAAACACAAATGTACAGTTAAAAATGATTTTTCAAACCTCCTCTTCCATAGAATTTCTCCCTGCTTTAAGAATTGTTGACACTGAAAAAAGACAACAAAAACACTGCTGTCTGAACTTGAAGCAGCAGAACAGCCTTAAAAAATCTGAGGGCATCACTTAGAATTATACAGATAAGCATCTGTGACCACAAAGACTCTTGCAATAAAAAGACTTTTTTTACTGAGTTCTACCAAGCACATACACTACACTCTCAAGCTGTTCAAGTTTCTCCCTCCCTCCATCTTTCTCTCCATTGCCTTCCTTCTTTATACGATATATAAGCACTTTGAGTCGATAAAACTATTTATATTTTCCCAAGAAGCAGGAAACTGTACAAAGGGCTTTGCAGTACTCTTTAAATCATACGCTGAGCAACTAAGAACTTCAGAGGGAAACTGTCCTTCTGAGGGGTGAATACACAGCATTCACTGCAGCTAACTTGGTGGGCATGGTTCAGTTTGTAGCTCTTTGGATGTAGACTACCTGAATGTTTTTTGGTTACTGTTGGAAGAGCAATGTTTTGTTCTCAACCATCTATCTACTTTCATGTCATCTGCATGACCCAAAGATATATGCTGAAGTCTGAAATATAGTTTCTTCGTTAGCTATCACTTCTGCTGCTTCAAGCATTAACTGCAGATATATAGAAGGGGAAAAGAAAAAGGGTTGTTCTCCTGGTTTACTATAAATGTGATTGTATTTGCAAGCTTGTTAAAAAGATTCAAACAGTATTTCCTCCCTTGCTATTGTCAAACAAAATTCATTGTTCACTTAAAATAATAGCTTTTACAGAATGAGTCTGTATTCCTTTTCCTTACCGGAAGATTGCAGGAACAAAACATTTGCTGCCATTCTTGATTCAAATAAAGATTTAAAGCCCTGCATATCCTGCCTTTAATTAATTTTAAAATATTTACCACATAATGTCAAGATCGTGGTCAATCTGGAACGACAGCTTACAGTCTGGAGCAACAGCAGTTCCTTGGGACCCTGATTAGCAAATTCTCTCTGAGTCCATTCAGTAAAAACAAGGGCCACAGAGGAGCCACCTGAGATTCAGGGACAGAGGAGACATAAAACTCAGTTAATTACAATTCCTCCCCTCAAAAAACTGCAAAACCAATTAAATAACTTCTGTGTGGTAGGAGATGAACACTCACAAAACAAACAACTTCTACATACTTGAAGAAAAACAGTAAACAGTAATGATGGTCTGAGAATAGCCCACACCTGCAGTGCTGTGTGTCTGCTGGTGCCTATTTAAATTCAGAAGGGAATCAGTCCTTATGTCAATTAAAGCAAGTTCCTACAGTGGTGCCATTCTGCTTCTCTCACTGCTGTTCATTTCACAGATGAAAAGGAGCTGCTTAAGGTGAGGAAACTGCTTGTTGGCAGCAAAACAAACAAGCCTGGTAAGTAACAGGGAGGTTTGGCAAGGAATCAAAGTTTCCTTCCTTTCTTTGTTTTAAACACTCGATCCACTATTCTCTATACAAAGTATATGGAAAACTGTGAAGAGATTATCCATTTCTTTATCCCTTTCCCTGCCCAGAATGGCAGGAGTCTGAAGTGAGACTGAATATAAGAACACTTATTCACTCTTAGTTCTCATGGGCAGCAGATTCTGGATTAGCATTGGTTCATGAATTAGGAGGCCTGACACTATGTTTTCAATCACATCAAAAACAAAATAATGTTTTAATTCACAAGTGACACATAAAGATGAGGAAAAAGCAAAAATGTGCCCACTACAGAGCTGCAAAAATGAGAAAGATCACCTGGAGGAAATTCAGAAAAGCAACTTATTGCTTGATTTAACAGAGAATCCTCATTATTCTCTTAAAAGAAAAGCATGATGAACTAGTGGTTCTTAGGCTGAGTCAGACAATGGATCATTATCATGTTATCTGAGCAGCATACAAACAGCACTTAGTACAAAGCACATTTTCTAATTTCTTCTTCCATTTGTATAATTATAAAAAGATACACTTGTACAGTACTGCTATGGAAAACAGCTGCCCACATTTAAGTCGCATTATTTTTTCTAAATATCAGAACTGAGGAACACAGAATTATTAAATTAAAAATGAGAGATAATGTTGCTGCTGTTTCTTAAATAGAATCAGATCTAAGTAGCATTAGATGCATAAATATCTAGTCATTACACAAACCTTCCATGGCTTCTCAGAGTTTGTACTTCAAAATGCTATACCCTTCAGCTTCAATTCTTTTTGCAAGTGTGCTCTGACAGCTTATTCACTTGATGCCGGGTTCCAGAATTGAGCACCATTTTCACTTTCAGTATGCTAACATGGGAAATCAAAACCTTATGTCTTGACTGGGGTGTGGCAGCACAGCTAGCCTGTTTTCATCAAACATCCAGATTCAAACCTTTGCAGTTATTCTAGGTAGAAGGCTACTTACACCGATCTTCTCAAACTTCACTTAATATTAGGATGGAACCAGTCCTAAGAGTCAACTGTTGATTTTCAATGCATCTCTTTTTTATTCTTTTAAAGAGAATTCAACATTGTTTTGTGGTCAAAAATAGACTCTTACCTGTCCCCAGAAATGCATTAACATACCAGTATTAATGGGCGATAGTACAGAAATCAGTCTAGAGGAGGGAGGAAACAGACACCTTCAAAACAACTAAAAGAAAATTCTCCTATATTAGTCAGTATAAACATCTCTGCCAAAAGGCTACTTTCAGACCAGCTTCATAGTTCTTGCATAATGAGTACAGAAGAAAATAGACCTACAAACCAGCCACTGTCTAACTGTTCTGTCAAATGTCTTTCTGTATAAGGTCAGTTGAGAGCTACCTCCTGTTTTTCCCAATATCCTGTTGATATTATGCCTTGGGAACAGAAGCAAAATTCTTTTGGACTTATTTACAGATCAGGCACATGTCTCCAGTTTATGAGAAGGAACTGGCTAAACTGATAATGGGTGCTACTTGTTCTTGATGAATGTCATGTAACTGTTACTGATCATGAAAAAAAATTACCCATACTTCTTATCATGAACTTAATTCCTTCATACAAAGAAGAACACCACCTGGAATGCTCTAGGGCCTCCTCGTTTGATACTGTAGCACACATTGTCTCACTGGTTTTATTCTAATCACAGAAATACCAAGATAGAGCTCCACAACCATCTGACACGGACAAGTATTCCTAACAGCTTGACTGAACTGACCCGATGCAGCAGGCATTTTTTTCCATCTTATTTTTCTCCACCTTCATATCCTTGCATATTACATCTGTCTTGCACACTGATGGCATCAGAAGCAGGCTAAGCCCTCAGAAACAACCACTATGATGACTACACTCCGCTTTGCCTCTTCTTGAGAAGTCCAGGAGACTGGAACAATTTTGCTTATTGCAGTTCTAGGAAGGTATTTCCACAGAGAGATGTGTAACTGAGTACTGCAGGCTAGCAGCACAGTTACAAGAAAGCTTTCATAACTGGCTTTCATAATTGTTCAAAAGGTATCCAGTCAGAACAGCATGTGTGAACATCCAGTCAGAACAGCATGTATTTCCGTGTGAATGTGTGCTGACAGGACCACTCAACAAATCTGTTCTTACTTGCAGTGGAACTTTTACCTCAGCAATTCAGAAGTCACGAGACATGTCTAGCACATCCTATGTCATGCTTGCACGAAGCCTTGCAAAGCAAACCTAGCTAAACGTTCCTGTACAATAGCTGCTTTTTTAAACAGTTACTCCACTATTGTTAAGTGAACTACAAGTTATGACAACTGATACATCCAGAGTCATCCCTTTGGCATTCTTTATAAAAACATGAATCACCGGAACATTCACCATGTGGAACTCCCATCATTAGGATATGCGTACAGTGTGAGTTCAGCCGTGCTGTATCTTTCCATTCTGCACAATATAACTGTCAGAACGACCTGAATGAATCATATAGGCCAACATGTAGGCTTGGCAAAGAACAGCTCTGATAAAACATGTCAAAATTAATTAGTTATGTTTAGCTTCAAGGAATGTTTGTGCACTGAAGAAAAATGAAAATTTTCATTCCTCATAAGCCATTGTACCAAATGTTGTAATAGCACCCTGTTTATGTACATTAATCAGAAACCAAAACACTTGAAAGGAGTTGGCCTACTAACAAAGCTCAGGCATTGAAAAGCATACACAAAGACCACAAACAGGCTAGAACAACTACTAGAATCAATTGTGCGAGCACTTGGGCAATAGCAAAGGGAGGATTTAACCACTTTAGCTGCTCCAAAGATGTCAGAGGGAAAGGAGTAGACCTAGTATATCCAGATGCCCTTTCAGAGATACTCATGTTTTTTTCCTATGCTTTTTTCCCCACAAAATCCTTCACCTATTGGAGCAGACTGAAAGGCTGTTAACAACATTTTTCTGTTTTGTCTTGTGGCACATTCTGTCTGTCCAAGCTGGAGGACTAACTTTCCCTTTTATCTACAGAAGGTTGGCACAATTCTGAGTGAACTTTCCCTGAAAGTTAGTGGCTTCACTCAGAACTGTGCCAACCTTCTGCAGACAACAGATGAGGATACAGATGTGGCAATAAATTTAAGAACAATATAATATCATGCAAGAGAAACAAACGCATGTGAATGGTGCAGCACAGATGTCACCATTTATCTGCCCATTTACCATGGATCCAGGTACTTGCAGTTACAGTCCTGTGTTTTTGTTCCTCCTCTCTTACAGCAAGAGATGCCTAAGAGACTTCTCCTCCCTTATGAATACTGAGTATTTATTCAGACTTCTGCAATTGAAAAGGGCTAACTGATGAGAAACTTGCATTAACTGTCTGAACCTGAACAAAGCTAAGAAAATAAAAAACAAATAAAAAAACCCAAAATTTCCCAAAGCAACAGTAAGATTGCCAAATTTAAGTGAGATACTGGGTTTGAAATTACTTGCTGTAATAATGCAATGCCTAATTATAAAAAAATAACCTAATGCTTAATTGCATTTGCCTTCAATTTCTCTCCATGCATTCTTTAACGTGTCTAATGAAGCTCCCTAAGGCTATCATAGTGCAACACTCAAAATGTTCTCTCTAAAATGAAATGATCATGAATGACCTTTAACCATAACAATTTATACGCCTCCTAACATAAAATGTCAATTATTTCTTTTATCTAGATTTCAGAATTGATGGCTTGACACATGAAAAAAACCAGAATTTTCTTTTAGCAAAACAAAAACAACAGAGAACTCCACACAAACAAACCTAAGTGGCAGGACCTACAGCAGTTCTCTCATGCTATGAGCTATAGTTGCTGAGATCTTAGTTCTTAATCTAAATCAAGTGAAGGCCAGTACCTCTTGTGCTATTGCTGTTACCTGGGAGCTACCTTGCCACAACCTCCTTTCAGGGAGTTATATAGAGAGCGATAAGGTCTCCCTTGAGCCTCTTCTTCTTAAGACTGAACAAAACCAGTTCCCTGAGCCACACCCTGTAAGACTTGTGCTCCAGACCCTTCACTAGCTTCACTGCCCTTCAGTGAACAATGACTTAATTAGGTTAATACTAAAACTTATTTTGTCTCTTTGAGCTCAGTGAGACTGGTGGAGGTAATGGTACCTGGGAGGGCAGCAAAGAAAGTCTGGACTTGAGATGCAGTGGAAAGCTTTTCCTTTTACATTCTCTTTGCTAGTGGCCTTTCTTCAGAGTTGGCCAGAGTAATGCACAAGATGTTCACATAAGAGAAGACTTTAAGCTATTATGAACCTCCCATTTCAGCTTCAATTAAAATTATCAGGTACTTTAACAGCAGCAGTATGTAAAACAGGGCAGGAAAGACAGCACCACTTGTCTTATAAAGCACTGTAACAACAGTCACTACAGAGTGACCAGGGTACTCAGTAGCCTTTGAGGGATGGCATTTAATCCAATAGAGTTCACAATTTAGTTTTTCAGATTAGATTAACACTTGAAATGCATTTTATATGCCTGGAAAAGAGGCAGACAAGCATGGTGCCATAAAGCTGGCAAATGAGGAAAAAGCCTGAAGAAAAAAAGCAATTTCAAATTACATAATTTACTTTTGCCAGAAGTATCTCACAATCTCAAGATTATTCTCCTCCCACAACTTCATTCCCCATTTTCTATTGTAAACATCTATTCTATCCTTCTATTATAAAATGATTCAGTTCTTCCAACTCACACAAACACTGAAATTTACTCACACAAGTAGCATCATTGGCTTCACTAAGACAGTTCATCGGAGGCATACCCCTTTCAGGATTGCTGCCTTTGCTTTGTTGAGGTGAAACAAGATGTTAAAAGTAACTGCGTTCCTGAAAGCATAACAAACAGTTTTACAGTAACAGGAAGAAGCAAAGAATCTTGCACTTTACAGAGTCCTTACAAGAAGCTGAAATTAATTTTTTTAAAAGATGCTCTAAAAACGCTAACAGAAATACGTTTATAACATCTGTTCTGTTCTACCTCTTCACAGTGCAAATACAAATTATCCATGTTCTGAAATAGAGAATTGTAGAAAATGAAAACCAACAATGTCAAACTAACTCATTTTCTTCTGGAATACAGTGCCAAATGGTGCATTATCAAACTACTAATGTGCTTCTTCCAATGATTCATGGAACACTTAACATTACAGCATCTCACTGGTAAAGATGTTGCTGGGATTTATTGACACTACAACTGTTCAAAAACTAAGTATCAAAATATTATGCACAGATGATATCCTGAATTCACAAACCTCAGTGTTGCAATATATTTTGAAAACCACAGACTTGCAACATTTGATACCACAGAGGATTTACGACTAACATCACATTAAATTCTGATTCTGTCTATACATCACTTCTTTCCTTATGGGAACATCTGTATATTGAAGAAGTCATTTACGTGCTAGAAAAACTACAGCCAACTCAGAGTGCTGGTTTATGGCCTCAGAGAGGCTGTGAAGTGGCATCTGTACGGCTGTGAGACGTCAAGCAGTTCAGGACACAAGCTCGATGCTCTACGCCACTAGCACTATTAGGCCTCTCCTAGCTGTAACAACACCACTGTTGCTGAAATCTAGACATAATCAAATTTTCTGCCCGAGTTTCTTAAATTAATAAATATTTTAGCCTAAGACCACCCTGACAGATCCACATGATCATCTTTCCTCTCAACCTCCCATGATTTTGACAATCTTCCAGGATCATCCTTCTCAATTAAAACCCCAAGTCAGAATTCAGCTTATTTCCTTTTACACCATTTTGCAGAAAGTCTTCCTCCCAAAGGCAGACAATTACAGATTCACAACAATCTGTGAACAGAATTATCCACTGATGCTCTTTTTCACGGTTTTGGGTTTTTTTTTCCTCTTGAAAAAAAATAAATATAAAACACTGGAAAAGCAAATTTAAAAGGAAAGAAAGGAACAATTCTTTTTCAGCTTAATCCTCTGCACAGAAAATGAAGAACAACACAAAGTATTTCCAACACATTATTTGCCTGTGACTAAAGCACTTAAAATATTTAATACTAAAGAATTTTTTTTTTATTGCACCATTTGGAATGAGGTATTCAATTATTAATAATCAATGAAGCTATGTTTGCACAACAGATATTATTATAGAAGACAGCTTATCTATGGTTACTCCTCTTTCTGAATAGCACAGTGTCTATACAAAACAGATAGTTGAACCAAGGAGGACATTTGCTCTGTGAAAAATACAAAAAGTATTAGCAGCCTCTAAGACTCAGAGTAGTTTCTAATCCCACTTTAGTCAATGGAAACTATAGCAAGATAAAAGACAGTAAATGACATAATCAAATTTAGAAGTTAGAAAAACACGACCACCTATTATCTTCTTACCAGAGAAAACAATAAGATGTGATTCACAAATAATAGACTTCAGCATTAGCAAGCATTCATTTAAATGCTTCCAATTAATTCTACATAGATTGTAATAAAATTAATAATAAAAAAGATACCTCAAAATTTGCATAACAATCAATGAGCAGCTGAAGATGAAGATGTCAGCTTGCATATATATATTCTATATTTGTCAGTGAATTAATGTTTGTATTATATGAAAATATATTTCTTGTAAAGAGCCGGTTACAAATTGCTTTGATCTATTCATAGTTTAATTTATCAGCGAAATACAGAATTATTATCAGGAGATCTAATAAAAGGTTGAAACTGACTGTCAAAAAGAATGGATATTCACTTATAAATACATAATATGCCTAACAAACGTTTTATTCAATTAAATTGGGGCATGCTTCTCTTCACTCTGTTAAAATCAGCTTTGAAAAAATTTGATTCTGAAGGTCCTATTTTACAGCCACCTGTAAAGCCTTCTTTTACATTCAATGGCAATCAAACCAACCAAAACTCTAACAGAAATTAGGAAAACAAGACAGACTACCTCACCAATAAGCATCCAAGTTTGACCTAGTCTTTGTTGTCTAATATTACCCGAAAATTATAAAGTATATCCTGAAAACTGTAGAACAAAGAGGAAACATTAATAGAAACGACAAGGAAATAGACAGAAAGTCAATAAATTATTGTATTCAAAATGGTAGAGTCAGTAACACTGCAAAGGAGATGCCTCTTCACTCTATGACTGCTTTTTGTATTTCAGGATTTCTATCATTCTAAGTTCCTTAGAGAAATACAGTCCATCTTGATTAAGTCTCCAGTAAAACGAAAGTATTACCTCCCTTGCTAGGACAAAGGAAAATAATACGGTCAATACAGCTTGTGGTCTACATAGCCTGTCAATGCCATATTACACTGATTAGTTCTTCTTAAACAGATGCACTGAATTTCTGAAGCAGTGTCAGAATACGGAAAGTTCTGCAGTTGTTTCTAATCTTTTTGGTAACAATCTGATATTTACAACAACAAACAAACTCCTGACTTAGCTTCACCTCCATTTGCATATCCGCCAGAATCTACCCTGTTAGGATCGTTCAGTTCTTCAAACAGTCCAGTTTCAATGATTTCTTCCTGCCAGGGTATAGGGACAGCACCAGTCGCAAATTTTTTGAAGAACTTCTTGTCTTTGTCATCAAACTCAATTCCTCGTATTTCAGAGAAATCAGCAATGTCTGCAACATCTTTGGCATAGACAACTGATGGATCTGGCACAAATGGAGGGTCAATAAGGTTCGCCTCTAGCCTGTGGAAATTTATTGTTTTGAAGAAGCTATGTTTTCTTGGGTCATCATCTTCATTTCTGCAATAAAGCAAAAGATTATTAATTACTGCAGTATTTTGCTCTCCAGTAGATACAGTTGTCTTTGTGTTGTATACATGAGAGCATCTTAAATTAAGGATATATTAAATATATACAAAGCAATGCAATCATACACAGCTCAAGCATATTCGAACAGTGTTGCAGTGAACAGCAACCAAACACATCCCAATCCCATTATTCATTTCTCTGTCTCTCAAGGTAAATTAGTCTGGGCAAGATGCCACGCAAGAGCAGCAGTGCTGCTTCTGGCAGTACGCTGAGATACCCACGTCCAAAGATACATTTTAACCGGAGCTGAAGAGTTTGCAAGAGGGGGATAGGAAGTATTGGATTGATTGGTCAACAACGAAAAGTCCAGTGGTTGGCTCAGGACATAAAAGGATAAGAATATCTAGTAAATTCCAGTCTGGTTTAATACATCTAGCGACTGATGGATGAAAAACAGTCTGAACAGGAAACTGACAAACAGCATTTGTTCTCTTAATTTAAAGCAACTAACTGCAAAGCCCAGTTAAGTAGCTTTAGCGAGTCAGTTAACGGAACTACTCTTACAGCTGAGCAAAGGGACTCACAAATTATGGCACCAGCAAGAGTATGCGCACCTCTGTCACAAACACAATTTTTTTTAAGTATCTTTAGAACCCAAGAATAAAATCAAGACACTGTAAATACATGTATTTAGGTACACTTTAAAAAGAGCAACTGCAGACCTCAGGTATGACTTTTGATGTGACAGAAACAGTGAATTCTTTCACTGTATCATGTTCTACAAGCCTGTCTATGAGTCTAAGAATAATCTGAGCCTCAAATGTATGGTCATTAAAGCACGATCAATGACCACAGCTTTAGATTTGCATCTTGCCCATAATGTAACTCTAGCACCAAGTCACACAAAGTTTGTATTTAGAATTACAGCTAAAAGAGGAGCAGGGTGGATTGCTTTACTTTTTTCATGCTTATGTTGTTGTTTTCTTGTAGGTTTTTTTGTGGCTTTTTGTTTTTGCTTTTTTTTTTTTAAGTTCATGGGTCTTAAAATGATAATCAAATGTAATAATCAAATGTATTTTTTCTTAATTTCAACAAACAATAGTTGCTATTGTTCCTTTTTGTCCTTCTCCATTTCCTTACAAAAATACTTAGCAAAAAACATTTAAGCCCTCATGCATTTCTAGAGAATGCTCTATGAACAAGATGTAATGCAAATCTTAATCTTTTTATCACTGTAGATGTAAAGAACTGCCATGCACAAGTAGCAGATCTGCATGACCACAGAAAATCTTTAAGACCTTATAAGATGTTTACAGAACAGCTTCTCTGGCTTGCCACTACTGCTATTTCCTAATAAACCTCCTTGCCATGCTTCTGGCCTGCCCTGGTGGAAATAAGGCACAGATGAGATGAAACTGCCAGCTGCCCTTTTCAGCTCCCTTAGAAAACCATAATTCTGTGCTTCTGCTGCCTGGTTCCTCTGAGAAAGTCACCACCAGCCACTAAAAACTGTACTCCACCATGACCATAATGGTAAGATACAGCCTGAAGAACAGTAGATGCTGCCATCCTGGTACCCTGACCAATTAAATAATGACATTTTCAACACAAACGAGCTATACGAAGATAATTATTAAAGTATAGATTAAGCCAACAGAGATAACGGCCTCTCCATATGCATAATCTTGCAAAATCAACTAGCTTAACTAGCCAGTGATAATACCATGTACCTGTACAGCTCTCGAGTTTGATGTGATTTATTTACATTTGCTGTTAGCCTGTAGGGCATTAGAGCTGCTGCTCAGATTAATTAGTGCCCTGTGACACCAGAGAGCTAATAGTGCCGACAATCCTATTAGACAGAGGTACTCACAAAAATTTTACTTTATTGTGCTTCTCATTTCTGTAACATAAACCAAAAAGCATTAGATGTTGGGGAAGGCTCCAGCTGGATTGCTGTGGTGTTTTTCTTCCTGATGTATTTTCTGTCACCATTAGAAACATAAAAAGTTTAAAAACATGAAGCTACAGGAACGCCATCTACTGGAACCAACTGAGGCATCTTCCAACTAACTGCAGATGATTTTGAGCTCTTCCTCTGTGAACTGCATGTTTATATAACTTAGAGGAAAGAACAAATGAGCTCATCTAAACTCCGTCAGTTTTGTATTCCTCCACAAAAAAAGAAAATCACAGTACATACAGGAAGATGTGGGCTACAGAGATGTCAATCCCAAAAAGCTGGAGCACAGAAAAAGTGTTACTTAATGCCATTGGTTAACTGAGGAAATAAAGTCTTCAATTAAAAAGTGAGATATTTTAAAAGGTCAGGTGTACAAATTAAAGCTGTCCTTGAGCAGCTTTAACTTATGCAACAGGCACTTATGTAGATAACCCAAGGTCTTATTGTCCTTATTAGAATTACAGTGCTAATCTTTACATAAGGATGAGCTGTCCTGAATAGTACCTCTCTATTTAAAACGTACATAAAGGCTTTTATTCTGTCATGACCAGACACAGGATACATCCAAACGTTTTTACAACACATCACGATAACAGTATTTTAAAAGGCAGTACCTTAAAAACAACCCTTGCAATTATTTATCCTTGAACATTTCTGATACTGCTCAGAATTAATGCAACAGTAAACAGGCAGAATAACTGCAGCTTAGCTAAGGGAACGAGGTTACTTTAAGTGAATAATTTGTCTCTGCTTTTGCTTCAGACTTGTTGAAATAACTTGATCAAATTGCTAAGTCAGGGACAAACCCATCAGTATTCATCAACTCAAAGCCATCACTGAAGTCCCAAAAACCACTCTTATTTGTGCCCAATATTCTTTTTCTCCCATTTGTTCCTGGAATGAGTCAGAAAAACAAGGAACCTCTACCAGATTTTTAAAAGCAATTGAGTAAAGAGAATGGTCTCTTCAGTAAGAAGCCAATGACGCAGCCTTGTAAGTTAGGCATCTGCAAGACAGAAAATCTGTACTGCAGATCTGGATTTCTGCCTACATCATTCCTGTAAGTGATATAGACAGAGACTCTGCATTTAGCCTACATTAGCATAGATTCAGGTACCTACGTAAATACCCTCTGCTTTAGGAAAGAAGATGCAAGAGAAATGGCCACTCCCAGCTCCCAGAACTGCAGAGTTTGACCCCTCAAAATAACAACAAAAGACTACCTGGGTAGTCTGGGGTAGGGATGGACAATTACTATGGACAAGAAAATGGACAAGAACACTCTTTATTTCCACTTTATCTTCAAAAACTTCCACCTCTCTTCCTGGAAATGAAGGAGAAAATTCAGTACTCTGTAGAAAGGGCAGATCCAACCTAATTTTTTGTAAAATTTATTATTTGTTTAAATAAAATTTAATAAATTTAAAATTTATAATTTATTATTTATAATATTTGTTTATTATTTGTGGCATTCATGCAGCTTTTTTTCTGAATGTGAGAAATAAGGCATACCTGCTTCCTAAACGATTCTCTGGTTTCTTAGCCAAAAACAGTCGGCAAATATCTTTTGTTTCCTCTGTAAAGTTGGCATGTTCAAATTTCACCTCATCTTCCAGAGTTCTTCGTTTAACCTCATCCTTATCGACCTTTTCTTTGAAATTCTTGAATGGTGTTCGCCCAGCAATCATCTCATAAATACTACATCCCATAGCAAACCAGTCCACAGGATAGCTGTAACTTTCTTCCTTCAGGATTTCTGGAGCCATATAACCATTTGTCCCAGCCTACAGCAAACATACAGACAGATTTATTACACAATGTCAGTAATGAAATACAAAGATTACAAAGGTAAAATGTGAAGATTAATTAGCCTATAATTTAAAAAATATTAGTAATACAAATGATAGGTTGGTTTTGTATCTAGAAACTGAGCAGCAACTATATTTTAGCACATGGACTATTTCTACCCTTAAACATCTTAACCTATCGAAAAAACTTTTAAGTGCATTCTTCAAAGGTGAAACATCTATACAATTTTGGCATAAAGGGGTGTCTTTTAAAATTAATCTTTATGTGTCTTCTTTCATCTTAACATTTTTCCTGCTGAAGAAAGTCATTAGCTTTGTCTTGCAAATACAATACAACACAATACAATCATTTTAAAAAGACTGAAAAAGGATGAATATCAGGCTACTTTCTGTACCTTTCCTGTTCAGTGGTTGCAACTCTGCTCCAACAAGGGGATTCTTGCCAGTGAGAACATTTTGGAGATGGCAGCCAAGCTGTGGTGGGAAGTTATCAGTCACATTCCCTACTGTCTTCTGCAAGGAACTATGACCATCAAGGGCCAAGAAAAACTCTTAAAACCATTGTATGAAAGTAAACCAAAGACAACTGTAATTAGTAATTACTTCTATTTAGGTGAAAAAACTAGTTCTTATTGCTTGACTGGAAAAAGCTCTGAATAAAGGAAAGGACTAATCAAGCCTCTAAAAGAAGAGCTGACCACTCTTGGAGAGGGGAATTTGTCTGCCTTCCCCCAGGCACAGGCCTGGCACGTTCCCAGCTGGGGGACAGACTCCACAGTATTCAAAACAGCTCTTGCTGCCTCTTCAGTAAGCTGATCTACCAGGGATGGAAGGGAAGGTGAGCCACTCTACACAGTTCCTGATGCACTGTTACATTACTCGGTATATGAAATTTCAGTCAAAGCATTCTCTCAACTGACTCTACCACACCTAATTCTAGACCTTATTTCATGTATTTGCCAGATTCAGCTAACGCTGATAACTATGTCAGAAGTTATTTGAGCTTTAGTAATATTACCATTTGAAATGAAAACAAAATGCTTGTGCAAAATCCTCCCAGATGTACTCAAGATGGTCATCATTACTACCACCAGAACTCGGTTATGTGACAGAGATTCACTCTGAAGCAAAAGAGAGTGAGAAAGGTGTAACTAAAACTAGAGCTCATCTGGGAAAACTATGTTTGTGAAAAGAATAAAAGCCCTACAGATGAATTTTAGTTTACAAGTCATGTTTCACTATGAACTTCAGCTCTTGCCAGTTCATATGATGGCATATATGCTACAGTTAATAATGAAGTTACATTTTTTAGAGATACAAAGCAAAGTCCTTAATTTGATTGATGTATAGAAGTGAAATGAGAAAAAGAAAAAAAATGTATTAGCCAGGTTGAAAGCAAAAGGAAGGGTTAAAAGTGAACTGGTACCTCCCCCACTAAAACCACAGAAGTTCAATGGAGCCATGACAGCAGCCCAAATCATTCCTCACATAATTTATACTGTTTGCATTGGATCCATCTAAGTTAATATTGAGAGAAATCCTGACAGCATTCAATTTTTGTGTGTGATTACTTTGCCACACAGAAAGGAGAAGTGCTCCAATATGACCTGCAGAACCCCAGCCCACCTGGCTGAAGATCAAGAAACTTGGAAGGAAGCGGAGGGGCTGAGAACAGTTGAGAAATGTTGGTACAAAAGGATGGAGACAGCTCATCGTGCATCAGAGAACACAGACACTGATTACGCTTCTGGAATATTTTTGCTGCTTCTTCTGGGAAGCAATAAACGTTCTTAGTTTTACTGAGATGGAGCTGGTTTTAGGGTACTAATGCCTTGAACAACTGACGGATCACAGCATCATTACAAGGTGCCCTGACAGCACTTTCTGACAAGACACTGCTTTGCTGCCAGTTAGCATCATCATACAGGAACTGGATAAATTTGTCATTTAAAAGTCAGCATGTCACCCTGCGGCCAACAAGGTGCCTCAAGAGAGCTCCCTCCCAGACTGCCTCTCCTTTCTTTCCCAGTTGGCTTTTCAGAAGAAACAGGTGCCAAGTAAGATTGATCTCTTCCATATGTATCTTCCACATACAGCCTTCAGTAAGTCACACTATACAGAACACTGCAATATGACATAATCCTTAGAAAAACAGGAAGCAAGGGCATATAGGCTAAAACACCAGATGAGAACAATTTGATTGAAAACAGGGATGGATCAACAAAAGCTTCCCTTGGGAATGGTGGACCTGGTTAGAGTGTGAATAAAAATTAATCTTCAACATTCTAAATTTGGTATCACTGAAATCTTCTGAGCTGTTATTGTTCTGTGCTGACCCAACTCAAAAGAAACCTTGAAATAAATGTTGTTCCTCTATGTCAAAGTATTCCAGGTGAGCCATTTTTCTCACGAACACTCATAAAAACTTGAACCTAAATTTAAAATAAATCTTTCTCCATCCTGAAGATTATTGCTAATTCTAGGATTAATAGCAAAGGAACAGGCTGAGAAAAAGCAATCTAGTATAATCTCATGACCCCTAAAATGAAAATAAAACAAAGAAAATCCAAAGAAAACCCACTAGAAACAGAGACATTTCCAAAGTATTGATCAGTGATCTTTAAGTGGCCAGACACACATATCTCAACTTCTTTTTTTTTTTCTTTTTTTTTTTTTTAAAGTAATATGAAAAAAAAAAAAGGAAGAAAAGAGCTTAAATTTTAGTCCTTTGCCACTAGCTCAAAATGCAGAGCTTTGGTAACATATTTCATTTAGGAAGAAAGTTGATAAAACCCTAAGTATTTAAATGCAGAACAGGAAACACAGAAATTATTCAACCCATGGAACTGAAAGAAAATAAACCTTTTAAATGAAGACCCACTTGTATTTTTGAGTAGATGGCATTGGTAGGAAGCTACAACCTCACATCTGTGCAGTAATCATTACTAGAACAAGATGTCAAAACTCTTACAATCTTACAAGGAAAAGAGATTCTGCGGCAGCATGAAGGACAGCCTCAACGACTCAGGAAAGGTTTATTTAGGCAGGTATGAAAGAAACACATTCTCAGCCTAGCGAATGGAGCTGTCAAACTGCACAACTCTCACCAGGAGACAAAGCAATTTATAATATCCCACAGAAGGCAGAATCATATGCCACCGCACATGGCTTTTCCAAGTTCAGTCAGTGCAATGCTGGCCATTTTTTTGCTTCCTCTCCATCTAGCACAACCTTTCGTTATGGTGAGCAGAATGCTTCATTTGCATTCACTGTCTGAAATGCAAAAATATTTTTCTGTTAAATAATTTTTAATATACTTGTTTTTGACAAGGATTAAATGATCTACTTCCCTCAACTTCCCTAGCTTGGAAACAGCCCAAAAGGCAGGATTTCAATAATCATCTAAAATGTAATGACCAAGTGATGTCCTTAGATACATTAGCAAAGAAATTTTGTTAGGTGTAATTGTTGCTTTTAGTGTGGTTTGACAGGACACAGTAGAATTGAGTCATCTGAAAGGATACCTTGTTTCTTTTGTGAAATGTGATTCTGTATAAATTTTTAAAAGGCCACATAATTATAGTCTTTGAACAACACAAGATGTGACCCTGAGAAGCACTAAGTGCACTGGGTTCCCAGTACAGCTGAGGGTACTTGGACTGCCAGCAGAACGTGGTGCATAGCGCAGCTTCTGCCCCTACATCCTATTCAGCTTACTGTCCCAAGAAGGGAAAGTATTCTGAACAGCATCACTATCCCAGCTTCTTAAAAATACAGGAAGAAAGAAACAGAGCTGTCCAGAGTTTTCATTACCACAGAAACAGGCAAATGGGGAGAAACGGGATTGAGAACCCTCTAGCTTTTCCCACAGATCTCTGCAAAACAAATTCAATTGATATCTCAAAGCAAACAGTATAGCAAATCAGAACGTCTGTCCTTTGTTTGCCATGGCACAAGAACTGTTGAACAGAGGAAAAAAAACAAGCTGAGTTTAGCTCTATCAGCTGTTTCCTGGGGCTTAGTCCATCCTTCCTCCAAGGGGTGCCACTGACGGCTTTGTTCTCTCCTCCAGCTGTTCCTCCGCTCCTTCAGCGCTGCCTGAACACACCCTGCAGGAATGAAGTGACCGACCACAGAAAATTCTTCTCTGCACATAACTTAATGGGCCTGAGGTGCACAGAACAACTGATGTTCTTCTGCCATTCCCTTCACAATCTTCGTTTTTCCCCCAGAGTTCACTGTGAGGAGAATGAGGAACAAAGAGTTCCTCCGCACTTCCTTACTACATGGTGATGCAGTAATGAGCCAGCTGACCAAATGACTAGGCAGCTACCTTTTAACAGAACATAAAATTTAATCTGATTAGCACGAACTGCACCTCTGAAAAGTCTCACTGAGCAAAGACTTCAGCATATTGTTAATGCTTAGCAAAAGGAAAGACTCCATTAACTTTCAGACAAATTGATGGGCTGCTGGCTCAGAAGAACACAAAGAAGTCTGTTCAGAGTACCAGGAATAAATAATGATGAAAACTTCATGGGAACTTAGAAGTCTGTGAATCCCATAGGTTCACCTGAAATTCAACACTGACGTTTCTTCCATCATTTTCACAGAGGGACAGAATTTTAGCTGGGGAAGTTTGTCTGTCTTAACAAAATCCAGTTAAAACCAAAATGGGAGAAAACCTAATTTCTGCAACATAATAGGAAAAAAGGAAACAAAACTTATCTCCGGAATCAAAGTCACTAACTGAAGTAGTAAAAGAAGTCCATGACCATTTTTCACTAATTTAAGCTTGAATGACAGTGATCATTGACGTCATCACCATAAGTTGTTCAAGTGAAAGAGAAAGCCTTGTGACAGGCTTTTCTGCGCTCAAACACAGCAGGAGAAAGTAGACACAATTACAGCATGTTCTTCAGTTCAGCTTCATGCTGTATGAAAACGAAAGGAATAACGGCTTGAGGAAGGACAGC